GTAAAATCTGAAAAAATCGGCTTCTCCTATTGCGGTGAGCTAGATTAGTAAACTCGTAAATTCGTTTATCTCGATCAATTCTTGTTTTCTCTTTACTTTTGAGAAATTTAGAGATAAAGGCGAGAGTTCTGTGAATGTAAGTAAAATCAAGAAGTTTGAGATATCCTTTCTTATCGGAGTAAACTTTACAAGTTTTGTGACTTAACTGCGAAAAATGAAAACAACAAAATATATATATGTATATTTTTTTTTGTCAACCAAAACTATTAATCAAATATTCCGCCAGAATTGGTTGCTCAAACCGGTGGATTGTTACTTACAACAAAATATTTATCACGATCAATTTTTATTTTGTTTTGAATGATTACCAATTAGTAACTGATATTATGAATATAATATATTTTTTAAAGACTTTTACTGTAATACTTAAATTTATACCTTTTGTAATTTTTTTTTATTTTATCATTTTTTTGTACAACACTAGAAATCTAATTTATGTGAATGAACGGAAGGGCAGACCGTCAAACCGTCCATGGCCTTTGAAGGGGATATATATTGAGTAATGATTAATTTAAATTCGATTATATTTGATTCCATGTTTGTTATAGTTACACGTATCCACAAATTTTTCATTACGAATAATATCAGAACTTATAACTTTTTAATTAAATATTGGACAACTTCAAAAAAAAAAAAAACGAATGTTCCTATACATGCAAATGCAAGCGGATAATTCCTAAACTATCTTTAACTAGAAAAGTAATGAAAAGCTCTTGTTAAAAGAGCATGTTAGTTCCTCCTGTAACGTAGAAGCTTTTGCTATATAAAGGCCTTTAGCTTTCTTCCTCAAATCAAACTAAAACCAAAGAAAAACAAGATAACAAAAGAAAAAAAACACCTTTCTTCTCTTCTTTGTTCTTCAATGGCAATGGCTCAAAAAGATAGGAATACAAGGTTCGCTGAAAAGGCTTTCGAAATGGTCGATAAAGTGAATGGTAAGTCTCAGAAAAAAATCCCTAAACCATATGTTCCTAGAGACGAGTTCCCTTCTCAGTTTAACCAAAGTTCCTACGAATATGGTGGTCCACAAGTTTATACCGTAAAAGAAGCGACTAATTCTACTAGTTGTCGCCGAGTCATTTATAAGTATTCAAACGAGTCAACTATAAAAGAACCTGTTGTTTCTCACCCCACGGAGCATATTCACTTCTTCGGTGGTGCTCGTCCTTTTATCGGCAATCCTAACCGTATTGAGAGGCCGAAAGGACGGGCTATTACTTGCGACGAGGCGGTCAAACTCTATGGAGGGGTGCTCATAAAAGAATTTCGTAATTAAGCGGGTAAAGCTCAAGTTATGTTGAAGATGCATGGTGAGTTGTAAGAAATTAAAGTGTGATAGTTTTTATTTCTGCTTTCGGGAAAAGTGCAGACCAACACATATGCTAAAGCTTGTTGTAAAGGTTTTCACTTAGAATAAGCTTTAGATACTAACAAGTGTTTGTGTCGGTTATGTATCTAGAAGTACTTTAAGTTGAATCTTATGTAATATAAAATGTTACGGTGTTACTACTATA